CATCACTGACAACCGACGCCCCTCACCATTATTCCTGTTATTGTTGCTGCCGCTGTTGCTGGTGCTCATCTTGGACGCGCTCATGTTCTTTGAACAAGTCGAAATAGAAGACGCCATAACTGCCTCCGTTGCTGGTGTTGAAGTTTGGGAAGTAAGACAGTCGGCGACATGCAGTGCCTCCCGATCACTAGAAGTGTGCATAGAAGAAGCTGATGTAGCTGTTGGCCAGTTATGCACATTTGGAGGAACGCTAGTCTCGTCACCACCTGCTATGTTGCCACCATCGTTATTGCCGTAGCCACCACTGGTCGGGCCATTAAAAGAGAGTAGAAGACCTGACTGATGAGTAGTCGTAGAGTGCATGTTGACTTGCCAGTCTGACGGGTGTGCATCCTTGGCAGATATTGTCTTCCCTGAAACACCATGTTGTCGCTGTTGCTGTTGCTGCTGCTGTTGCTGCGGTGGTGGTGGTGGAGGATGAGGAGGAGCATACTGAGCGAGCTGCGGCTGCGGCTGCGGGTGCAGCTGTGAAAGCTGCTCATGATGCGCAGTAACCATCATGACGCCATCATGACCACCTACAGACATGGCGACAGGCACGGCTGAATGGATGCTATGGTGAGTGTATGCGCTGGTATGAGGGGAATTGTGACTTGGCAAGCATGATAGAGATGGTGAGCGAGCTTGGCGAGAGTCCTTCCGGGTCAGCATACTTGGCACAGACGGCATGCGACTATGCTGTTGTTGTGGCTGCTGTTGCTGCTGCTGCAGGATTTGTAATTGTGGAGAATGCTGCTGCTGCTGCTGCTGCTGTTGCTGCTGCTGTTGGAGAGGAACGGGAGCATGCAGCAAAGAAGACATGCTTGGTAGAGGCGTCGGAGCTGCTGAAAACTGGCGTTGTTGTTGCTGTTGTTGTTGTTGATGCTGTCCACCACCGCCACCGCCGAGTGACGGAGACTCTTTGGCCAAGAACTTGGCTGTCATGGAAGTGTCTGTCAATGGCATGGCAGCGCCAGCTGGGATCAACATGGCAGCTTGTTGCTGTAAGTGGTTGTGAGAGCCAGTCAGCTTGGACGGCAATGGTTGTACAGAAGCCGGAACAATCGCTGCTGTTGGCACTTGCACTCCAGTGGCGGCGATAGCTGTTGTTGTTGCTTTCGACATAGACGGGGCTTCCATGGCAATCTAGAAAATAGCCGAGCTCTTGAAGAAGATGACAAACGGGGCACAGTGCTGATGCAATGCAATGGAGCGAAATGAGGGTGGAATGCCTTGATGGATGAGCTGAATGGTTGCGGGAGCCGTGTATCAGGAACTCGAGCTTGGCCAACACCGACACGGCTGCAAAGTGTCAGTATGTAATAAAGCAGTCGAGCGACAAGGAACGGTGCACAGCAAAGTGAGAGAAGGGGGAGGAGGGGAAAGGACACAAAGCGAACCAACCACACACAAGCAACAAAGAACACACAAGAAACGCACGCGCACACACACAACACAATGAAGAGCAGGAACAGAGAGGGTGTCTATCAAGGACAGTGCAGAATACAATGATGCTGACGATGATGCTGACGATGCTGACGATAATGATGACAATGATGGTGATGGCGATGGCTGTTCAATGCTTGGCAATACAAGACGGAGCCGTCTACTCACAATAGCGGGACAAGAAGAGTAGAAGCAGGCAGCCAAGTAACCAAGCAGTCAGGCAGGCAGGCAGGCAAGCAGGCAAGCAGACAGGAAGAAGAAACAAAAATAAGAGTGGAAAGGGAAAGGAAAGAAGGCGCGAGTGGGGGCGAGGGGAGAGAGGGAAGGACACAAGAGTTCGCACTGCACACACCAAAATAAATCGAGCGGCGCTGGTTGCACTTGGAAACGACTACTCGAATACAAGCGCTCTCGACAACAATGATGCTGAATGGGAGGGAATGTATGCAGCAAACCCCCAATGTTTAGGTTTGGATGATGCTGAATCCACTGGTGAAGAGCTTACGCGTCCAGCTGTTGCAAAAAAGTGGAGATATTGTATTACACTTTGATGCAGGAAGGATGAAAGAAAGAAAGAAAAAGGGAAAGGGTAGTTTGTCGGCCCGAAACCAGCACAGGTGGTTGTATTGAGGCCAGAGTGAACAGAAAATAACAACAAGCTCACAGTCCTGAGACTGGGAAATGCGCGAACCAAAGGCAGGAGGTGGGTAAAGCAAAGAAAAGAAAAGAAAAGAAAAGAAAGATAAAGAAAAAAGCAAACAGGTGGTGATGGGCAGGTAGCGGAGTGCCACAATAGTTGCAGAGAATGAACAACGGCACTATGATAATGATGATGATGATGATGATGATGATGATGATGGTGATGATGATGGTGATAATGATGATGGTGATGAAGAGGATGATGATGAAAGAGAGTGGTAGTGATTATTCTGGTGGTGAAAAGCCGACGGCTGACGGCTGACGGCTAACAGCTAATGGCTGAATGCTGCGATCAGTCTGAAGGAAGCGTTCGTCCGTAACACAAGCACTGCTACAATGATTAGAGTCAATGAGGAGTAATGATGTCGGTTAATGATGCACGTTGACGTGAACGTCTAGTAGTTTGAACAAGAATGGTCAGCAAAAAAAAAGAGAGAAGAGAAGAGAAGAGAAGTAGTAATGAGGCAAAAAACAAAAACAAAAACAAAAAGGACTGCGGCGGCTGCAGCGGCTGCGGGGCGGTGTGAGTGCAAGTGTGGAGTCGGAGGACGAGCGAAAGGGGGACAAAAAAGGAATGTCATTTGCGGCGAAGCGGACAAGTAAAAAAAAAAACAAATCAAAACGATCGACCAATCAGACAGAGAATGTATGCTTGGCTGACGGTCTGTGCCGCTAAAAAACGTCATCTCGAAAGAAAACCTCAGCGGCAACTAGCAAGAGCATGAGCATGAGCATGAGCATGAACATGAACATGAGAATGGACATGATCTTCAATTACATGAAGAGTGGTCGACAGTTGTCATGTGCCTTCGACTGCAACTGGTCACCTGCAAATGAAGAGAGCCAATGTCGTACAAAAGGGTCTAATGAGGCGAATTTGCATAATCCGTGCGTCACAAAGAAACTGCGTAACCTTGGATCGGAACATGCATTCTAGTATAGAAGGTCACATTATAATGGAAGTATGATGTGTTGTATGCATTCAAAAATAAAGTCGACCATCTATCATTCTTCATTCTTCATTCTTCATTATCATCCTCATCATCAAAGGCGACGGGAATGACCAAGGAAAGCTCGCGCCGTGCTTCAGGTGCGGTTGGTTGCACAATGCGAACGAATCGCAATGTGCTTGGATCGCGCAGCACCAGCATGAGTGAGTTGTGAGCTGGCGGCAACTCGAGAAGATGCGGATCCTCCATCTCATCCGCTACTTCGCCACTGACAATGTAGTGCATGCCGCCATGCCAAGTCTCGTCATCCCAGGCTTTGCTGCTCGACTGCAGCCCCAGAATGACATCCAGACCGGCTGGCTCAGGCTCGAGATCGTTGGCGAGAGTGTAATCGAGTCCGCGGCGGAACAGTCGCAGCTCACACGCAGCAGCAGCCGAATCGGTGGATGGTGCTTCTGTTTGGGTGAGCGAGTGGATGTATTCGCGGAAAGTCGGCGACTGCATGAACCGCAGCAACCGCAAAACCAGCGGCTGTGCAGCTACTGGCTGACTGCCGAGCGGGTGGGCTGCAGCATCACTCGATGAAAGCCGCAGAAAGCTGCGCACATTGGGTGGTCCGGCTGGCATCGCGTTCCATGCCCATCCATCGTCGAGTTCCCGGACAATCCGCTGATACAAGTCATCGCGCAGGAACGACCGCAGTTCAATCATGCTGTCGCTGGCAAACCGCTCACGAATGCTGTCCATTGCCTGAGACGATCGATATGTGTCCTTGATCCAGAAATCCAGCGAACTGTCATCGGCGGCCGATGGAACCGGTCCAGACGGCATCACCGTCGCTGGAACAGTCTCGCGCTTGTCAATGGGGCCATACAGCCAGCCGGATATGGACACACGGTCTCGGGTTGGATGAGTGACAAGCGACACTTGATGGAATGAGTGTGGCTCGACAACAAAGAACGCCAGCGTGCCTCGCTGTGGACACACTGCACGCTCGACAGTTGTTGTTGGCGCACGTCTTCCGCTGGCTTCATCAATGCGACTGCCAAACAGGTCGAGGCGTCCGCCATCTTCTGCAGCCCAGTCCTCCTCGACGAGATACAGAATGAATGCAACTCGTCGCGCCAGCCCTGCCTCAGTCTCCTCGCGAATGTCGTCGTCATGGCACAGCAGATAGCCGCCAGGCGGATACCGGTGAGCAGAGAGGTCGGCACGGCCACGCACGAGCTGGATGCCGGCAAGCGACTCGACCATGCCAACGAATGCATCGGAAATGACAAGCTCGTGCAACTGGCGCAGCAGTGGAGCCGAGTCCATGTGGTTGGCGAGGTCGATGGACTGGTGGAAGTGATACAGGTCATTGGAGCGCAGCGTGAATGGTGGCTTGGAGAGCACCTCGTCGCGCAGGGCAGCGCACGCGTCTGGCGTAAACAGCCGCTGCAGTTCGCAGAGTGGGAATGGTGCAGAGGCAACTCGGACTGCCTGTTTGCTGTCGCTGGCATCGGTCAGCTCGAGAGCCGATGGAGCGCCAGAGGCACGGCGCATAACAGCCGCAACGCGCTCCTGGCGACTCTTGTCGAGGAAGAACGGCGCTAGCTGCAAGTCGACTTCGGAGCGCGCTCGCTTCGTGCTCCTGACAGCATTCTCGATGTTGTTGACGTTGTTGTTGCTGTTGTCGTTGTTGCTGGTGGAAGACACTCGCGTCTGTTTTGGCATGCCTGTTTGTTTCTGTTTTTGGAGTGCGGTGAAAGAGCTGGCAGCACAAGCAAGCAAGCAGGCAGATCACGGCAAGCAAAGGCAAGCAGATCACAATACGAAGAACAAAGCGAGACTGAACGAGTGGCACAGGAATGAAGCAAAAAGGAGTCCGGGAAGTGAGACTTGAACTCACGACCTAAGGATATCTGATCAATTTTACAGTCCTCCGCTCTTCCAACTGAGCTATTCCCGG